GACACATGTACTGCGTGGAGCTGAGTGTGGCACTGATCACCAATTGGTTTGGACCAAACTGTACATATATTTTCGTAAATCTATGTATTGCACTCCTGCCGTGAATCGGCGTAAATTTAACATTCTCTCCCTCGGTACTGTAGTGAAACGTACGGAGCTGGAGAAGGCGATGGCTGCACGCCTTTGTGATGTAGACTGCATAGCCACAGTGGGCGACCTGTGGCACCACATTCGCGACCAGGTGACAGCTGCTGCCGAGGAGACCATCGGGCGCGCAAATTGTAAGCGGCCTGAATAGTTTGATGACAATAATGCGATGATCGGCGCATTGGTGTCGGAGAAGAATGCAGCATTTGCCGCACATGTTGCAGACCCCAGTGACTTGGGGAAGAGGAGTCAGTTTCGCAAACTTCGACGGCGCCTGGCCTGAGAGCTCCGTCGCATTAAAAATGCATGGTGGACGGAGGAGGCGAAGCAGATGGAGTGCTACGCCGAACGCCGACAACACAAGGAATTCTTTGACTCCTTGAAGGTAATGTATGGACATAGATTGGAGCCGCTGAGGACACTGATCGATGGTAGTTCAGACGCTACCTGCACACAGACTGCAGACATAATGCAGATCTGGCGGAAACACTTTGACTGTCTCTTGAACAACCGTTCAGAGATCGACTGGCCCACATTGAACGGCCTCAAGCAGCATGATGTGAAGGCGAATCTGGCGGACACGCCGACACTGGATGAGACGCAGAGAGCACTTGCTCAGCTGCGAAACGGCAAGTGTGCTGTGACCGACCGGATCCCGCCTGAAGTATTGAAACACGGCGGACCCGCGTTGTTGACTGCGCTGCACCACTTGGTGCAACACGTATGGATTGAGGAGGAGGTGCCTCCTAAGCTGAAGGATGCCCTTGGGCTACCACTGTACAAGGGCATAGGGAGCAAGCAATGTTGCACGAATTATCGTGGCATCAACTTGCTGAGTTGTGTGGGCAAGGTGGTTGCCCGAATCCTGCTCAACCGCTTCGTCAGTCAGGTTGTGGAACCTAACGTGACGGAAAAGCAATGTGGATTCCGTTCGGGTCGCAACACTATAGATATGGTGTTCGCGGCTCGTCCGTTGCAGAAGTGCAGAGAACGACACCAGCCTTTGTACTCGCTTTTTGTTGATTTCACCAAGGCATTTGATACGGTGAACCGCGAAGCATTGTGGCTGGTGTTGGATAAGTTTGGTTGCCCGCGTAAGTTTATAAGTTTAATTGAATGTCTGCACAGTGGTATGCGGGCGAGGGTGCAGCTGAGTGGAGAGACCTCGGGTGACTTTACAGTTGTCTCTGGTGTGAAGCAAGGCTCCTGCCCTGTTTAGTATATATCTTCATGCAATGTTGTCCTGTGCTTTTGATGCCGCTTGTGCTGACGGTGTTCGTATTGATGGTGGGTTTGCTGAACATCCGTCGTTTCGGTGCAAGAACTCTAGTCTGTGAGACAGCTATCCGTATGTTGCTGTTTGCTGACGACTGTGCGTTGTTTTCACACAGCGCGGATGAGTTGCAGCACATGACTAGTGCTCTGGCTTCGACAGCGGCCAAATTCGAGCTCACCATCAACACAAGCAAAACTGTCTGTCTCTTTCAGCCTTCACCAGAGGTGCAATCTTCAATATTGCCGCGAATCAGCATTGGAATCAGTATTGGAAACCACCTCGCGCTTCTGCTACCTTGGGAGTGTGATGTCGACTGATCAGCAGATACACAGTGAGCTTCGTATCCGCGTGTCGAAGGCAGCGGCGGCATTCGGGAAACTAGAGTACCGAGTGTGGAACAACCATCAGCTTACCATTGGCACGAAGCTGATGGTGTACAAATCCATGGTACTGTCCGTTCTTCTATACGGCAGTGAAACGTGGACGATGTACCGGCGAGATGTGCGATATCTCGAGCGGTTCCATCAGTAGTGCTTGCGACGGATTTTGCGCATCGGTTGGGGCGACAGAGTTGAGGACACGGAAGCGTTGCGCCATAGTGGAATGTATGCAGTGAACTGCATACGTTTGCTGAGACACCTGAGGTGGACCGGTCATGTGAACCGTATGGATTCGACGCGGATACCGAAGCAACTCTTATATGGTCAGCTGAGTATAGGGAAGCGGCACGTAGGGAAACCAAAGTTACGTTACCAGGACATAATCAAAGTGAGTCTTTCACGTTCTAATCTTGATTGCAGATAATGGGAATCGAAGGCGATTGATCGGCGTGCGTGGCGCGATCTGATCACGAAGGCAGTTGCCGAGGTGCGGCAGAAAGCCCTCATGCATGCAGAGAAGAAGCGGCAAGCGCCGATGGGTTGCTCTCCATCGACATCAAGCGCCTGGTGTTGTAGCACATGCGGTCGTGAGTACCTGAGTCAGGCAGGCTTAGTGAGCCATGAGCGAGGCCACTCGGGACCACTACCGAAACGACGACGGGTCCTGCAGAGAACGTAGGCAGAAACAGCGCAGCGTTTGTAGGTACGCTGCATTCGATTTACTAACCGCGTGCTTGCATGCTAAGTCTCTTTATTTCAGGCGGTGGGTTTTCAAATTTGTCCTAATGCTTTTCTTTCTCAAATAAATGTCCACCTGTACGTTCTTATACAAACCTGCACAACTCGCTTAAGCCAATTGTAGTTAATTACGATAACATTTTCGGGTTTGTGTCATTTCCGTAAAATATACTTTCTGACCCCCTGAACTTATCTCCGATCCAGGGTTAACAACTTATTTCATATGCCCATTAATTTAAGATCTTTGTCACGTTTCCTGATGCATTACTCGATTTATTTTCTTTGTTAGCTTTCTCTCAAGTGATTGGCTGTTGCTTGATATCCCCGGTGTGGCTGCGCTTGATGTGCATGTTGACAAGGTGCCTACCTGTTTATTACCCACTACCTCGTCCATACTGGCTCTAGGAGACAGCTGGTCGTTGCTGGAGGGGACGGGGTGCACGGTCCTTGTGGCCGTGTTAGGATCAAAGAATGGTTCCATGCACTCAGTGTGGAGCGGACTACGGTTCAGCCACCGCCTTGTGTGCGCTGGATTCCCAAACACGGCGTGCTTGTGTTCGCCATGAAGGAGTGTGGGCCGGTTCCGTTGATGAAACGTGGCTCCCATCCACATGCCTCCCGGTCTTATTCCTTCGGGTTTACACCGGATATGGGGTGTGCGGGTGGAACTGTGGGTGGTGCAGCGCAAGCCACCCCCGGGTCCCTCTGTAGGCGCGGGCGTCCTGTGGCTGGCAAGTGACAGGCAAATCCGAAACCGGATGCCGCCAACCATATATATATATATATATATATATATATATATATATATATATATATATATATACAAACCACAGATTGTGATTATATATATATATATATATATATATATATATATATATATATATATATATATATATATATATATATATATATATATATATATATATATATAATCACAATCTGTGGTACAGAATTGTGGCGGAATAAGAAAACAGGATACGAATAGGAAGATTTTTTCAGTAGTTTTCATCTATAGCTTTTGAGATTTTTACTGCTTGTTTTATTGGGGAAGGGAATGGAAATCGCCACAACACGGCGAGATACAAGTTCGCTATTGACGTTGGTCCTGAGCCACAAGTTCCACCGTCTCCAAACTGTGACACTCTGTATCTCGGAAATCCCAACTGGGAAGTCGAGAACAACTGAGGCCAATGGTTTCGTCAGCTTTTCCATGTGCCTTCTCCATGTTGGAGGTTGTCTGCCGAGTAGTCTCCTCCAGTCCTGTCCAGCAACCGCGAACAACGCCCAACACGGAAGACGACGAGCGGGCGTGTGCAGTACGTGTCCAAGGTACCGCAGCGGACGAAGCGAGACGAGCTCCTCGAGTGAGTGGCTGCCTCTACCCAAGACACGCGGTCTAAATTACACATTTGGTTGAGTGGTGCAGCCACGACGAACGCGCAATGGACCGCAAGCAACCGTGTTCAAAGAGAGAGAGACGGCGCAGATCAACGGTGCGAACAGGCCAAGTCTCGCAACCGTACAACAGTACAGCGCGGAGAGTCGCACGAAAAACTCGCCCTTTGATGGGTAGACGGATGTCATGGCTACGCCAAATGAGGCTCAGCTAAGAGAAAGCGAGGCGAGCTCTTGAGATACGCAACGAACTCTAGTCTCCAAAAGCTTGACCCGCAGTAATGTAGCTTTTTAGAGAGGCATAACTCTCCGGTATCGCATTACCAAAAGTGAGTGCAGACATCCGAAGGTCGTTCAAAAGAGCTTTGTACTTGGATGGCGCAAAGTGTATGCCACACTACAATGCTTCAATCGACAGGAGGTTGAGTGCAAGTCAGAAGGCCTGTGGACCGTCACTTAGCATGATAATGTCATCAGCGTAGTCCAAGTCGACAACTTGGCTATCTGGAAGAAGCTCAACGTCAGTGCACAACCAATTTTCCAGAGCACTTCTGAGACCATCCTCAATGGCAAAATTGTAAAGGAATGAAGAGACAGGGCATCCTTGTCAAAGTTCACTGGTAACAACGAAGGAAAGAGAAAGCTTGTCATAAGCCCTAACACTTAGCACACGTAGTACGGAAACGAACTTCGGGGCACGCCCCTCCTCGACAAACAGCGCAACAATGCAGACCTGTAGACAGAATCGAAGGCAGCGCGGATATCCAGGAACACAACAATCGTTGGTTCTTGGTACACATGGCGGAGCTCGAGGATCTGGCGGAGTGTGAAGATTTAATCGATGCAGCCGCAGCTAGGAGATAGCTTTCGAAGAATGATAGACACCAGAAACTTAAGAACGACGGGAACCAAAATGATATCACTGTATTTGGAGCAGATTGTGCGCAGACAGTTTTTGAAGATGGGAACGAGTATGGACTCACGCCAAAATGATAGAAATCTCTTTCATGCCGTACTTATGAGAACAAAGCATTAAGTTCACGAACCAGCAAATAGACACTCACTTCATCAGGTTCGGACTGGTCGAGACCATCAGTATTTGATGGAGCGGACTTCGTTCTCAGCACGCGTGTTGTCAGCTTGAGTTTGGCGTCCGCGCGCGACAAAATAGCTTCCTCGACGGTGTCACGACCAACTAATCGAATAACGCGAACCGGCCTACAGAGAGCAAAGATGTCAAATGAAAAAGAGGAGGATAAGTAAAATGGTTTTACTTATAAAATACCCAAACGTTGGGAACAAACAACAGTGGTGAATACGCAGTGAGATTTTGTGGATAAGTGCCATTCAAACTAAAAACGTGAAAGTAAAATACAGCAAAGTTAACACGGAGCTCCAATAGACAAAGTGATAATTGGAAGCGGACACTATTCCATTTACATAGAACTTTCCTCTCCAACAGATGAATGAACCCAGGTTGTCCGGCTCCAGTGTAAAGGATTGCAGATGAGACACAATGAGAATATGGAGAAGCCCAGATCTCGTTTCTGCCACGTTTAAGGAATTGGTGAATCACCAGTATATGGCAAGTGTCTGAATGCACCAAAAGAAAAAGTGCATGCGCTGTCGTCAGTTGGACGTTTGGAGTTGACTTTCTGCCAAGTACAGGAAAATTTAGTCCACACAAAGGACTACGGGGGGATAGATATGGACAAACAAATGCGGTGTGTGCCGATTCAACACACATTGAAAGAGGCCTTGTTTCGTTCGATGGATAGAGTGGGACTCTAGTGGGAGAATCGGCGAGTTGATAGTAGGTAACAAAGCCGGTGACCATTATGATGAATGCGGTCGGTTTAGTTAACCCGTCGTGAGCAGAAGACGCCGATGACAGGCTAGCGCCGTTTCTTATCCTGATTGTCCACCTGAGGGTGAGGAGCTATGCGTCGGGCAGATTTAATCATGAAAGGAATCCTTGAAAACTGCAAAGCAGCAGTTTTGCCGGTGCACCCAGACCACAAGTGGCTGATAAATGAGTTAAGATTCTATATCAAAGCGCCCGTTCCGCATCTTACAAAAGCCGTTTCATAGCTTGGAGCATCGCATCCAGTTCTATTATGTAAAAACTCAAGGGACTGGAAACAAAAATTTAGGATGAGAAGGCAATTTTCCTGACGAAGGTCACTTGGAAGTGAGAATCCAGGGATCCATCCCCGTCCAAAGTAACTGTAGTTGTGTGTTGTGGCTAACCCGGCCTCCCTAGAATACTCGATGCAAACGTGCGTCCTCACGTGGAATACTCTGGAGACTCGACTATGTCGGATAACAAAAATACCAGAGGGTTATGCGGCTTCGCACACCAGCAAAGACTAATGGTAGTCCGAATGTTTATTTGAATCTATAGATGGTCACGTAATGATCTCATAATTGTGTACCGTACATCGAGTGCTCCAAATCACGTTTGCCTTCGACTACGGAAACTTAGTCACAAAGCCAACGCAATAGATAATCACGAAAAACAAATTGAGCTTCCCAGCCGGTCATCGCGTCTACTGAGTAAATTTGCTCTTCTAGTCTGCGAGCCTTGCGATGACCTTGTGAATGCAGTAACTTCGCATCTAGTATTTGCTTTATTAAAAAAGCGGTTAGCTATTGAATTTGCCTGTGTTTTGGTACGCCAACTGTGACCCTAATGAGAAATCGTAAACCACACGGATGTAGGGAAAGCTGTGACAACGAAAGAGAATCGAAATCTTTTCATAGGAAACATAGACTGCAATGATTCAAACACCATTTTGTATGCCATGATTAAAATCGCAAACAAAACACTTGTTTCTTTCACTATGGCAATACTTATCTTGATCTTCAGTATCAAGAAGGTGCAGCAACGAAAACGATTTTCCTGACGAGACTCGATAGTAGTGGCCTAGTGGCATTGAGTCCACAGAAACCAACTGGAACTGGGGGATTCAGCCCCATCAATAAATCACCATTTGCGATAAGTATCTCTTGCGATGTGTAGAGTAAGAGTCACTTATCTGTCACCTGTCCAGAGAAAAAGCAACTGACAAAGTTGCCATTAGGGCGTTATCTCATCGGGTTCAAATTCTCCACATGACTGAAACGAAAGCCTAAGTGACGAGGTGGCGGATTTTCGAGCGCCGCAACCGATGTTTCCAAAGTCACTGAGTAGTTTTTTCGCCTGTCATTCTTTTCCGAAGTGATGGATAAACGAGATCACAAAAATTGAAAACAATTCCGTGATGTGCGATCATGAGCTCAAATACGGTACGCCTTTGTAACGACGCAGGTGTCGATTAAGCATAATGTGCCCAGCGACAGGATGTCAACGCTCCCGTCACAGAATTGATGACTGCAGGGATGTGATGCGGGGAAACCCCAAGAATTGTACTACTGGTTTCTCTAAGAATGTGATCTCAAGGAGCAGATGGATACTCATGTGGCAAGTGAATGCTGACATGATGACGCCTATAGAATGTCACAAAACATCAGAATAAAGGCAAGCAAACAGATGCCCCGCAGTCCTAAAACAGTAAGCGGTGGTACGCGGACTGGGTTAGTACGGAGGCGTCGAAATTAGTGCAGGAGCGGAACTCGAACGTGATGTGCAGAAGTCCAAACCAAGTGACGACTGCGCCACTCCAACATGGATCCCACAGTTGAGTAGTTATGCTTCCAAACACCCACCCAGTTTGAGTAGGAGCATTAGGCTGAAGTACGAACAGAAGAATATCGCCGACAATGAGACGATGTGGCTAGGGAAGTACATCAAAACTAGTGGATAGCAGAGGAGAATGGCAAGCGATAGGACCTATACGGCGATAAAAAAACTGCTACAAAAGGACCTACCAATCAGTCAGTAACCGTTGTGACAAGCGTTGCGCGTCATGACGCAGTAGCCAAAGGGGTAGTGGTTTCGGCTACTATGCCAATGGGCGCGGGTTAGAGAACAAATGAGCTCAAAACGTATGGTGGTGTGCAGTGTTTACAGGCGGCAACACCCAATATTCATTTGATTTGGCAGTTACGGTCCCAGTGATCGACTTGACTAAGATTAACTTCAATGTGAACCACGGCCCACATTGTGATTGCATGTCGTAATCCAAACGCACAAGGAATACTACAAAAGGACACATTAAGAAGTAACTTACTTCGTCTGACCGATTCGATGCGCACGAGCGGTGGCCTGGATGTCGTTTTGTGGATTGAAATCACTGTCCATCAAGATCACAGTATCTGCAGCCACCAAGTTCAGTCCTTGACCACCTGCAGTACAAACAAGTAGGGTGGAGATGTGCGATGAAAGTTTGGCCCCAAAAAGATGGCTTGGGTTTGCTTTTAGGGATGTAAGGGTAGTGGAAAGCATGGACACCGATGAATTCGGCTTTGGACGTCCAGGTTAGCATTGTCAAATAGCACCCAGATGTGACCGATTCGAGTATCACGACGACGACAGTAATCATTAAAAATGGTGAATGAAATGAAGCGGGTTAGAAAAACGGCCGGATAAAGTTGATTGGGGTGAAAGGTTAGCGTAAAATGTAGGGGCTCCTCTAAGCACGCCACAACTGCGATGTGTCGGATAAGTCATTTGACCACTGAAGTGGCCGACCTTGATGTTTTTATTCACGTAACAACCAATCTCTCTACGATGTCACCGCTGATCAACATGCGTTATCGTTAAATTAGGTGCCGCTGCCACAAACAACGCATGCCGATTTTGTTGACGGACAATGAAAATGCAAAAGGCATGACCAAACCAGCGTAAATTGTCAAATAAAGAAATATTTTGTCTCTCGACGGTGTGAGAGACTGTTCCCGGGTAAGTAAAGATTAACATGTACAGTTTTGTTCACAAATGTCGTCATCCGAGATAGGACTAGAAAAAATGCATATCCTATTCCTTCGGGTTTACACTGGATATAGGGTGTACGGATGGAGGTGTGGGTGGTGCAGCGAAAGTCCACATTGTCCCTCTGTAGACGCAGGCGTCTTGCGGCCGTCCCCATGGAGGCCACAGTTACAGACAAGTCCGGAGCCGTATGGCGTCAACCGTGTGCATTACGATTGTCATTGCATAGTGTTCAGCGGCACAAGCAGTTGAATGGGCCGTGAGGAATCTTTGTTTGTGGGATTCTTCATATTTATGCAAAAATTTCGTTGTCTGCCTCTGTTTACTGTTGTCCCATCGAAGTAACCAGACGCATCCTGAGTAAAAACACGGAAAGGAGACTATTTTTGGCAAAAGTCAGTAATTTCATCTCCCACTGACGCTTAGTAGGACTCCAATGGCCGGTTTCAATGTTCCAAAAATAGCCGCTAGATGTGATTTGAAACCACTCCGCAGCAAAGCTTCTTACAAGCAACGCGGAGAGAAACAGTGTCCATGAAGGTTAACTGCCTTACCTTGACCAAAGGTGTGAAGTCCCGGTTCTCACAAACTATAAAATCCTGATATTGATGCAGTTCATGTTCGCCCGTAAACAAAGCACATCGGTATTTGAACATCAGAAATATAAGGAGCCGAATGTATTTTACAAAGCAGATAATATTGAAAGGTACAGAGAAAAGAGGTGTCGAGAAATTGGGAAAGATTCCAAGGAACTAATCCAGCATAAAGTATATAAGAATACAGTACCTTTCCAGTAAAAAACGTCGCACCTTAGGATCGTTACCTGAGACGTTTTGTAAAAATGAATAGGATGTAGGGGATTACGCGGTGAGACAAACAGCACCCAGATGATATGTCCCGATCGCATAGATTGGAACACTTACCAGATTATTCTTGAAACTGATTTCTGAACATGAGCAAATCCTTCTTTTTTATTGCCTTCTGACACTGCGTAGCTGCCGTGTAGGACAGTCACTGCATTGCCCCGTGGCCTACTAGTCTTAATCACGGAGGGTTCTAGTTTAAAAGGGGTTAGAAAAATTGCGCACCGCTGACGATGCCCCGGAAGAGAAAACGTCCGTCGAGTGCTACTCCGGACGTGTGATGGCCGCCTGAACAAGTATAGATCAGATTAATTCCACTTGTGCCGTGTAGTACAAACTGAATAAATAAAACGATATCGGGTTCATTCAACACGGAGGCAGGCGTTCGCCTTTCAGGAAAAAGGGCAATTTGCATGTTTATTAAAACATCGAAATCACAGATAGGTATTTATGAAAGAGTACGAAATATACGTAAAAATAGATTTGATCGTTCAAAGGCAAAGCTCCTCGTAAAATCGAGGAAAACGTTATGTAGAGTGCAGTATCAAGAACATTTCTAAAGCAGAATGCTAAAGGAACAGAAATAGAAAAGAATGAAACGGAAATGGAAATGCAGTATCATTTGCGGCGATTTTAAGACAGAATCGCGTAGGCCTCTCTTGTGACAGAATGGTCATTTTTTGAACGCTGCCTCTTTGCGATCACTGGGTGGGAGTAGAGACACAACCAACTTCCAGTAAGGACACACACATCCGCGTGAGTCGATTGACTAATGCCGTTGTCTTTCGGGAGTACAATATATCAAAAACTTTGGTTGAGGACCCGAGTCGTTCATCTGTTCAGGTGGGGACGCCCTGGTAGTATATCCGTTCAACCACAAACCATGAAAGACACCAATACCAATAATGTCATGTAGAATCGGCCATCGCGCAATGCGGTTATGAAAAGGGTTGCCTTATCTGATGCATACAATGGGGTGGATAAGCGTAAACATGAAACCGCTGACGATTCCTTCTATATTCTTCCACTTCCTCTTCCAGTCCCCATCTCACCTGACCCACCCTAACTACCCCAAACTAAACCACCACCCGATCGATTGCCTGACGAAATCGTATGCCTCAGCGGAAAGCGCTCGAGATCGGATGTTGTAACGTGCAAACACTACTGGACCAGCACACGAGCGACGCAATGCACTGGTCACCATGAAACGCGGTCGCTACGGCATTAATATTATCGCACTCAGTGAGACTCGGCTGGCCGATCAAGGGAAACTGCATGAAGATGGTGCTGCGTACACATTCTGGTGAGTGAAAAACGCAATCACAGCACCACGTGAACATGGGGTCGGATTTGCATGATACGACCAGCTAAATAGCCAATTAATGAAAGTAAAGAATGTCATCAGCCCAAGATTGACGGCGCTTCGTCTGCGTCTCGAACGGGGTAAGTTCGAAACTTTTATTAGCACGTATGGTTTCACCATGTATTATCATGATGACAAGAAGGAGCAGTGTTACCCTCAGTTGTCCTCCGCGATAAGGTCCGTGGGTGGTTTCAACGCGCATTGGGAACGATGCCGCGAGGTGGGCAGATATAGTCAGTTTGTATGATATTGGCGCAGCCGATGAGATGATCGCCTGTCTCACTGTGCATCAGTCATGGTCTGACGAGCACAAACCCAGTTCCCGCTGGGTAAGAGGGATGCTGCTTCTTGGACGCACACACGGAGTGGTCACACACAGCTGGTCCACTATGTGATCGTAGGTCGAGGTGACCTGTGCGAAGTGCGCATGACATTTGTACTACGAGAAACCGAGTGTAGCACTGACCACAAGTTGGTACATACACAGCAGAACCACCCAAGTTGACCACCCCTGTATTTTTGCCGACTCTGTAAGTTGACCGTTTTTTCATGGATTGAACGTTCACCATGTAAAAGGTATGGAAACAGACCTCTGTATGTTGACTACCCAAGTTGTCTACTGACCACTTGTGCCATAACCAAGATCATGTGAAGAGCTACTGTGCAATGTTCGCCGATCGTTTGTTCAAGCAACAATGTGTGTGTAGCGGGATTTTGCAATGTGCGAAATTCTTCTGATCCACAACCACTACACCTGATGGCTTCGCATACCTTGAACAATACAGCATGTTTCTTGTCTGTGCATATGCGTACGTGCTACTGACCCGCCCCACAGTGTGCATGCGCGTCGTTATTTACCTCGTACGATGAGTCCCGACGTGTCCGCGTAACAACGAATGGAGACCGTTTTTGTGTGATCTCTCCACACATAAGCACAAATATGCAATGCGCTGCACACGTCGCAAGCAGGATTTTGAGGGACTACCTATTACTCACCAACGGATCAGGTTCGGTCGCCACTAGCCCTTTTCAACATAAGCCGAAATCATCAGGACCCGTTTATCCGCAGATTTTGTTTACCCCGTAATCACAATTCTTACCACTACTGCCTAGAGCTATATATTTTATATCCACTTGTGTTCTAGCGTCCAACAGTAGCGGTTCATGTCTGCGTTTGCCGCCCTTATCACTTTTCCAGCGCAACAATCTCATCTGTTAAAAATTTTCAATTAACATATCTATCTAGTAGGTCATTGCATCAAACCTTTTCTTACCACCCCTCATATATTCTTCTGTTTTTGTCAATGGTAATCACCACAACATTGCCACAGTGATTGCTATGAAACGGTTCTTCCATCTACACCATGAAGACACCAGTCTGCATAAGTTCCGCGTACTTTACTACTTCGTTACTAGACACCGTCTGAAATGTTATTATTGTGTTATATTTAGACCATGCAAACACAACTCTGACGTCAGTTACTGCATCAACTCTTCTTCTCCATAGCATTGTGCCGCTTCATCAAAAGATTATATATTTCGTACCCATTTTACTCCTCTACATGTTGGGGAACCCCTATGGTACACAGCTAGTGGCGGCGAAAGGTGAAGAGAGGCTACCGAAAGTCGTCACTCTATCAGAGACATCGAAGCGTAAGGCTTGAGGAATGGAGATTTACTTCTGGAGCACCACATTTTTTGTAAGCAATTCTACAGAGTAGGTTAAAGTAAATCGAATGCAGCCCGAATGTCCACCAAAGACACAAGAGTAAGTTGGTGGTAAACGTAACGCTGCTCGATTCGGCGGAACGTAAACACGTCCACACACCTTCGACAGGGGGAAGGCGGAAACCAGCATGTTCCTCACGGGAGTACAGTTCCCGAATCGGAGGAGAACAGATGTTAAAAGTTTGGAGACAACGGATATTAGACTGATTCCTCTGTGGTTGGCCCATAGGGTAGAGGAATCCTTCTTGAAGATCGAGGCGACAATCGACTCGCCCCAAGTGGACGGAATATAGTCTTCACACCAAATCTTATAAAAGGTGTGATTAGCAAAGTGGCATGATCAAATGGTTAAAGTGCAAGATTGAAAAATGAGCAGTCCATCGCCTCACAGAAACGCACTGATGTACGCCAATAAAAATTTGAAATCTAGCACACCAACTGGATGGGAATCACCAATACGTGTTTACTCCGTTCTCGAAACCGAATTCGAAGCAAAAGTGCAGCGCTGAGGATCCACACACGGTGCTAGCATGACTGGCACCACGCACACCCGGTTTAGATCATTTGCATATAATCCCTTCATGAAACCAATCGCGCGAATGTGCTTAAGGGAGTAGCCGGAGTGCCGATGTTGGAGACGAAATGCAATAAATGCAACGTAGACGCATATATCCTCGCGAAAAAATGGATGATAGAAAGCCCGGTGCGACACCAGCTGCCTTCTGGCGCTTGACAGACACAGTAACAAGGGTACCTCACCTGCTCTAGTGCTCAGAAGGAAGACAAAAGATTCGCGGTCTTGGCTGAATCCCTGCACCGCCAACATCCGGTCTTCGCCTCGAATAGAGCCATCCAATCGTTCGTAAGGATAATCTGAGAGATTCGAATAGTACATGGTTGGCGAAGGGGTTAAGCTTGCATGAATCGCTTATCATTAGTAATCCAAAAATCCTCGTGTAATAGAATGAAGAAAAGTGCTGAGTGAACAATTCTTCTTGGCAACACATCATCATCAGCATGGCTAGTAAGGATTAGATGCTAAAGGTGTCAAGTTTGGCTGAATGTTACTTAGTATGTTAAACTCAACAGCCGAATGGATAAATCACGCTGTCACCCAAAGTAATGGATTAGGTACAAAGATCTCAAGATAAGGGTATCGGTGAATTTGAGTTCGAAAAAACAACTGTGAACTGGACACCGAGGTGCCGCGGCTAACATGGCCAAAATGTCAGTCGGTGGCAAAATGGACTAGGCGCCGCGGTTTCACCAAATCAGATACTCTGTTGGCAAACAATGCACGTAGAAGTTGGTGTTTAACGGGCATGTAAAGGGTCTGGGCTCGCCAAATCAAGCGTTTAACTTTAACATATGTCTCGGTTTGGAGATACAGAACTGCTTCCTACCTATCAATAGGCGCATATCTGTACCGCACAGCCGGTGACCCCACCTGTATCAAAAACACGCCATAAGAACATAGAGTGTAAATGTGTGTGGTCAGTTAATCCCGACGAAAGAGGAAGCTAGCAAGGACCAAGGAGTTGTAACACAGAATAATATCTGAGATAAATTTGGAAGTAATGAAATTATGTTAACGCCTCGGTGACTTTTGTAGAAAGCCTTGTGACCGCTTTAGAGGATAGAGATGACGATTGACACTCAGTAGAAACCAGGTACCTCTTCACTGCACGTAATAAATTACTGTGAGTTGCCTGTCATTTGACAACGATGGAAGGAAAAGTAGGCCCTAGTAGCGAATCTGTAGTGAGGTTCACAAGATGTATGCGTAGCAAAGAACGCATTCAAAAGCAAAGCAAACAACTGAGTAGAATCTATGAGTGTTCACGTAGACAATTCTGATCAAAATAGTGTAAGTTTAGAAATTAGATACCAATTACAGGTTTAAGCACAGTTAAACGCGCAGCTGTTGCTTGTACACAGTATTGTATCACCATTTGTGGTGCGAACAAAAGGTACTTCAATTAACGATCCGAACGCTGAGGTGAATGTGAAGCATCACAACCATTTATCGTTCAGTAAGGCCAAGGAGACAAAGCTGTCCACTTCCGACCTCGAATGAAGCGAAAGCATTCCAAAGCTTAAGCCTAGAGATAAAACATGGACATTTGGAACACACACCAGGATCCTGCGATAGTTTTGTCCAAGCTGAATCACATACGGAGAAGGATCAATCACTGAACTGCCTACAAAACATCGCGAAAATCGTGGACTTGGAAATTAGGAAGCCTCATTTTGATTCGAAGTAAAACTGTTAGATTGAGTATCGCAGACCAAACACATGGCGTGTACTGCAAAACGCAATAATAAATAATTCCACAGTACTTGCGAAGGAAGTTCAATCCGATCTTAAAAATCTGTTGTCAGTTTGCCCGTGGTTTTTATGCATTCACCAAGTGAAGAGCTAGTCGATTCGAAAATAGCACCGACCTGACGCACTCCACCCATCTTCCCACAAAACTGCATACGGATCGGAGAACCAGAACAGATAAATTTTGGAGTGAAAACTAAAGTCTCCAGCACACGCCGCAACAATATCACTAAGAGGAGCAATTAAGCGAATAGACATCAGATGTCGAGTCAAAGAACCCCAACCGTGTGACATTGTATCGGCAAATGACGTGGTTACCTTTCTTCCTGTCGTATACGGACGAGTGATTAGTGGAAGTGTGATGCAAACCGCTAGTTTGGGGCGAGGCCAACAAGACGAAAGTAAGGTTGATCTCCGTTTAACACCAGATGGTCGTGATTATAGATGACGGTGATGTGCAATATCAGCCGAAAAAGAGACACCTCTGAGAGCGTAATAATAACGGAAAGGCTATACCGAGCTTGCATCTTGATCAACTTTAGTAGGGTTAGACAACATTCAATTGCATTGATGCCAAAAGGCGAAATGACAACATCTCAGATTTTAAAAAACATCGGCAGTACACCGGCACACGGAACCGACGCTTCGCAACCACGAGGCCAGCACCGGTCGCGGGTGTGCTGGGTACACCACGAAGTCGCCCACACCTGCGCGGATTCGAATCGGTGACCTCCGGATTGCATGGCAAGCGCGTAATCCTTGCGGACACCAACCGAGCAGCTTCCAAGACAGATTAGTGATTCGGTGAATGATCACGAGGCAAGAAGGAAATGCTCCATGGAATGGTTTACCCGGTATTCAGTCGATGGGTCTGGATGAACACTAGACTGCTCACCTCACTAATCAATCGCTTCACCCGATATGGTCCGTCTTGAACATGTGCTTTAGACTAGATAGAAACAGCAATTGGCTGTTCCCGTTAGAAATCGTCTTCTCGGTATCATAAGCGGCGGCCATCCAACAAATCTGCCAAACGAGCGTAAAATTACGAGTCATGTACAGCTTTAAGATACTGTGAAGAGGCAAAATCAATCCCCGAGGGAACGTTTTCCGTGTTAAAAGTCAAAACACAATTGCAACGGTTCAAGGCAAGCATAAAAGTAGCTTGAATGTCTTCAACATGACACTCGGGGTGATTAAAATTGGTGTTTCGATCAGTCATTTCGTTCTTCGGCAATGCGGGACATTCCAGCTCGAACTTGTGGTGGCTTCGCAGAATCCGAGTTCAGATTATGGACTAGTGATGGTGAAACTGGGAGCTCCGATGAGACAGAAATGGTAGGCGCTATGCGGGAGTATAATCGGTTACGATCAGATTCAAAAAACGTGCTCCAATCCAACTAACCAACTTGGAGTGAAGCGCTTCATCTGCACATGATGGCATTACGATACGCTTGGGTCAGGAGGTGGCGTATCGTTTCATGGCTCTAGGAAGACCACGAGATCAGAGCTGGGAACTTGCGGATCAACGCGAAGTTTGTTGAAAAGGTACGGAGAAGTGAAAACGGAGAGTGGGGTGATGAAATTGCTCAGAAGAAAGACAAGTTTTGGATATCTATCCAGAGATGGGCTGCTTGAAGGTTAACAAGGGCATTTGATTGCACAATCTGGACCTCAATGAATTGGGGTAAAAAGGCATCCGTAAACCGTTGTCTGCTGTGCAATTCCCTTTGAAATGATCTAATCCCACACGAGACTCCAATCCCAGCAAGAATCACGAATCGACAAATTAACATCGATGTCTTGCACGGTAAGCCACTTAAATACAAGTAGCGCACAACCTAAGGGATATTTATGTGCCACTACTGCTGTAATCAAGCCCTGGACTAGCTAGCTAAGCTCGCAAAATTTGCAGTTTGGTTACGCCTCGTATTGGTCAAGTCGCGGACTTGACAGTTTCTGAAACAATGCGACGCTTCCGCTGGACCACATTAAGTTAAGTTGGCTTCTAAGTAAAATCAGTGGATTTCCATTGGGAGATATTACTTCATGCAGGATAGAGTTGCCTAGGGGATTCCACTCGAACACTCACAAGACAATGGGGAACAGATCTAACGTAATGAGAGGACATGCTAAGGTGGGGCTACAGGTAGTAATAAAGGTCTATAAACATTAGTGCGGTGCCCATCTCGCCAATCATAAACCGATGTCTCTAAATGCGGGTTTGACGGGTTTGCATATCTTGTTCAATGACCACCTGGTTTGAAATGGTTGATAGTGAAGCAATGAGCAACAGTGTTCATCTCTCAACACTAAATATAAACGGTGTCTATAGTGACTTTGGTAAATCGAGCGAAAGCAATAATTCGTAAACGCTGTCGTTTCTCATGATTCTGAGCTCCCCTCACTTCCGAACATCGATCAATCAGAATTGGTAGGTTCTTAGAAGACTGAAAGGATCAATCCGAAATCGGACGCTGCCATCCATGAAAGAGTAGCCCAGCACAATTCAATGGGCCAACAGGTTGTGCGAATCATCGCACCACGAGAAGACCTAGATAAGTCGCCATGACAGTTAGTTAAACAAAAAGCAAAGTATGGTGAACCGCCGACGACACAAACTGCTGCCACAAAAAGCACTTAAGTACCTTTCAGAGTCAGGTAGTCCTGAATGATGTCCAACATTCGGGTCATTTGAGAGAAAACTAGCACTTTGTGAACGGGTCCGGTGGGATGCACTGTGGACGTTTGAGGGGCACTGTCATCGCGCTTCGAAAATGGATTGTACAAAAACTCCAAGAGGAGATCTAGCAAAGTAAGCTTCCCACTCGAATCGATCAAATGATCACCCAATTCGAACGGTTCTGGTTCCACTCCTGGAAAATGAAGCAACAAATTTAAGAGCATAGGAGTTAACCGGATATTTAAGTGGAATATGATAGTGATCAGATAGCTGTGATCGCCAAAGGCATGCAAATGAGCCCAAATCCGGAATTGGGAGACTGAACGCGCTCACGTGCCAGCTGAAAGTAAACTAGAAAAGATGTAATGTAATGGATGTATTTGGATCCCAGGGTAACGGATAGGTACGCTGTGGGAATGTGGCATCAGTTTGGTGTATTTGGTAACATGGCAGATTGCTACAAGCTAAGTTCGTTAACTGCTTTGAATGATGAGAAACATGACAAATCAAGGCGGAGTTTTAGGGAGGAAACATCTTAACCAACCCTACGCGTGACAGTGAACACGGAAAGGCATTCACGTTATGATTTGAGCCAGTGTTAATTCACACTGGCTAATGCATGGTTTTTGGACAGAGTACGAAGCGATGAGTATCAAAAATAGTATCCACAAGTAGAGAACGTCCCAGCTGTGTCACTGATCTTAGCTGCAGAATCCACGTGATTACTGCTTACGCGACCGTACGAGTGGGCAAGTACATGTGTGGTTCTGGGTGAAGTTGCTTCAGAAATGCTGTGGAAGAGTTCAGATTGGTGGCTTGTCCTAGGAGTAGAAAATCTTCCTCAACAGACCAGTAGATTGATGTGGGTGTTGTCTATGAGGTCTTCATGAGTTTGTAGTCCGAAGTATGTTTGCGAAATTAATGATGTGTAAAAGCGCGTCCCGACGAAAAACGATGGTCACATAATAGACAGCTGGGTGAGTACTCATCTCGAAGAGTTGCATTGTGGGAACCACTAGCAGTAGAAAAGTGGGCATTGCAACTTTGGCAGGTATGAGACTCCGGGTGGTTTGCTGGCGTAGGGTGTAATCGAGGCGGCGATGTAGTTGTAAGATCGTGATCCACTGCTTGTTAGACAAGCACTCGAACTCCCGATTGCGCTCTGTGCAATAAGTGCGTTCATGTTCTAGAATACGCGTGATGCGTGCCTGTGTACGTAGACGAATGAAGAAAAGGTTTGCACAAAAACAAGCAACGTCAGCCTATGAACCCGGATCTGTGGGGACACAACGTAGGAGGAAAAGACCCACGCGCGTAAGAACCGAAGGGTGAGATAGATATGTGCACACACACACACACATATATATATATATATATATATTGAGAGAGAGTGAGTGAGTGAAAGAGAGAGAACACGCTGTATCGCCAAATGACTGCAGAGTCGCAAAGTGCAGTGGTTGTGGGTCAGAAGAATTTCACACACTGTACAATCCTGACTTGACTTACATACACATTAACATTTGAACTAACGAGTCGTTGGACGACCAATGCGCAGTAAACCGACACGTGGTCAAGCTATACAGGTTAAATTAATAATGACTGTTATAACCCAAGTGGTCAATATACAACTTGCGAAAGCCATGGGGTTTACATGGTGAAAGTTCAAGCTCTAAAAAACAGTCAACTTGGATACGTGGTCAGCATATAGAGGTGGTCAACTTCCGTGGATTTACTGCATGTCCAAGTACAAAAAGAAGGGAGTTCATCTACTGGGAAATCCCATTTACGCTCGAATGGCTAGGTCCTAGAAAATCCGTGCATAGACGTTAACAAAATAAAACTCAACGTGCCCAGACAGAGAACATGCGCCAAGATTCTTTCGTATGTTCAACGATCACCGAGCAAGAGAGTAGAAATAAGGTAATTAATTTACTGTACTCACCATCGAATAGATAAGGGTGATCGACACATTTGCGCAGCTGCATGAGGAGATTGTTAATGCGATAGGAAGGCAGATTGGACGTTGATGTGCCCAGTTCGTTGGCCACAACGGAGGTAAAAACGTCTGTAAATATGAAAATTGAGAAAAATGGACCCGAATGTGTGCACCTAGATACAACCGCTGAGTACAGAAGAAGCGAAAACGAAGAAGCTTCACGAGTGCAACTGAGGAGAGAAAGTACAGAGGTAAAAACCATAAGGAAGCAATTTATAGCCCTTCAACACGATTTGGACCAATAAATGGCGGGTCTCATACGCTTAGTGCCGAGGACACCTATAGTGGTGAAACGAGTACCGATATCTGCTGGCGATGACTAAGTTGGTATGAACAAAAAGCACTGGTAAAAATAAAATGTAACTAGAAGGTGCAGCAGAGACCAACATTTGCGTCGTTGCGCGGAAAGCAGACAACGCAGATGAACCGTGTATCAGCATACTTTAGTTGATCAGCTGGGTCCCAATGCGTGAAGTGTTCACGTGGTCCACCGTAACAATTGTACTCAATAGCGAGCCTTAACAAAGCAATTTACTTCAAACTATAAGTTGTGGTACAAATATGTGAAAAGACTTCGTGTGGCAAAAAAGTGGATTCTCTAATCTACTAACAGCGGACAGACCGACATAGACTGCCAAAGGAGCTGCTAACGCTACGCAACAGCAATACGTCACATCTTTCCAATGTAGCCGGTGATCTCTTGTCTCTTTGGAATGTATAGTGGCACCAAAAAGAAGCAACTAGATCTCGTTTACGCCAGACGGTGTGCTGAGAAATCTGCTGTCAATGTGCGTACACAACGCACCTGAAGGCGAATGCCATGAGAGCTGAGGACTTGGTTGAACATCTAGCCAGATGCCTCTATTTCTTGCTGGTGTCTTTATCTATGGACACTTTGTAGTAATTTAAGGCATTGTACTATTCTAAGAATTATTACCTTTTGGTTGAGAGTTCACGAAATACAAAAATTCTTATTGCTGTTAAATGATTTTAGTCAGTCCAGATTTTATATTCTTAAAGGACCCGTTTCTTTTTGTTTGATCGAAAAAGGTAAAAAGATAAATCCGAAAAAAATGTGTGAGTAAACAATTCAATCGTTAAACATTTGCAAAGTTTGGCTATATTCTTGTGAAGTTAGAAATCTGGAACACATTATTCCAGGCATTACCTTAAAATTTGTGGCAGTTATTTTATTCGTGGGCTGCAATCGTCCTTCCTTTTTTAAGGACACCTACGAAAATTGGTTCCGTGACATATAGGCTGGGCTTAACTAAGTTGTTTGTGACGTGATTGAGGTGCGTCGATTTAATATGTAGAGTCGTATATCGGAGCAGGCAATTTCACCTCGTAGTCCGTAAGTTATCACCACAACATAAGAAGCTGATGGTGTCCTGGAAGGTAACAGTTACTGTACTCCGCCGGGTGATGGACAAAACGCTGATGCAGATGATATCAATGAAGTGACCTAGGATGCTGGATCTCTTGATCTGTCAGTGATGCAGTTAGTGACACTGAGGCTAGCTTAGCATTGCTTTATGTATCGGTATGTACAGTCTGCATGATAAGTGAATTATCCGAACAGGATTTAGAAAGTGGCAATAAAAGTGTACATGAGGAAGTTGCTGTCCCTATGCTTGTTTCTTCAATAAAAGCACAAGTGGATACCAAACCCAGACTATGGAGGAAAGTAGACTTATATCAAGCATTACGGACTCAGAGAAAAAGCCTGAATGGGTACTTGATTCCTTGTAAGAGGATCTTCGATTACTTCATTACTGAACACATGAAAATGCAAACAAATGATTACGTCAGTTCAAAAAGTGATCACTTCTTTGGCATAACCACAGCTGAAGTGCGGGTATTTCTAGCTATTTTGTTTACTTATGATTGTGATTACCATAGAGGCGTTTGTATTGGGATCTCGAAAAAGATATCTACAACTGCAGCCATCAGTAAAACTATGAGTCGAAACACATTGGATATAATCATGAAGTATTTACATCTGGCCAATAATGACAATGTCCATGCAGATAACAAAACTGCAGAAGTTAGAAAACTTTATAATCTTCAAAATGAAATATTTATAAAAGTTTCCCCATAAGGGAAAAAAAGATGAACGTGGATGAAAGCGCGATACCATATTATGGCCGTCATGAATTGAAACAGTGCCTGGAAAATTGCAGTCATGTGCGTATTGGACGACTTCCTTAAAAGGCGGCCCCATTACATCTTTTTTGACAATTTTTAAGGCTTGCCATTCATGAAAAGTTTAAACAACGAAAGTACGTGAGCAACAGGGACAATTCGAGCAAATAGGACAGATAAATGCCGAATCGGTATGGAGCCGCTGGAAAAAGTAAACAGAGGTGCTTATACTACAGGCGCGACAGCCGGGATGACCTGTTTCATGTCTTAGAATGACATTTCTGTTGTGACTCTTGCCAGCAACTTTGTTGGTGCTTATCCTCTAACAAAGGCAAAGAGTTGCCCGATATAGGACAAAAAGCGCATACTTAGCGAACCACCTGGCATCATTGGCAAGTATAACAGTTTGATGGAGCGGATCAACTGGACTGTCGGTCAACATAAAACTAATTATCACAGCAAAGGTGGTGGTGGAGGCTCTGCTTTTCTCCCTGATGGTGCAATGTACAATGCTGGATTTTTGTACAGAAAGTCACCTACACATGAGCAAGTGCTATATGAAATGCTTTGTTTCGAAAGAACTGTCGTGAAAGACTATCTTCAGAAGTGTTTAGCAGAGATAAATGTCTGAAAATGTCCTCTTACACCAAGCAGCAAACGACAAAAAGTTGAAGAGAAAATCAGGAAATCTTGCTATGGACTCTACTTGGAGCCAATATCAAATCGACGCAGATGGGCTCAGTGCGAGAACACTCTAGTATGCCTAGTGTGTGAAGTGCCCACACACAAAACCTATTCTGTAGTATACAACGCATTATTAAGGAAGCAAATTTTTCCATAAACGTAGCCCACATATACTGTTGTCACTACAAAGCTTAAAAACATGGTTGTGTTTTCTTCTAAAGTCCCATAATACGGTATAATTTTCTGTTGACCCCATTACACCAGTGCATACAGGGCTTTTTGGTTAGACTGATATAACCTTATCAGTGGCGTACCCCAAAGAAGAGGGTTGGGGACCACTCCGTTCCTCATGCATATAAACGATCAACCTCAGATTCTTCAGTCGTCGTGTGTCCTGTTTTCAAACGATCTAAAGATCCGTAAGGTGATAAGCACGCCAGGCTACTGCCGCTCAATTCATCAAGACCTCAACTCTCTCCATGTGGTCTGCATATTTCCCTCTCCCGGTCAACCCAAGCAAGTCCGTATTCAGGAGCCTGGAGAAGGGTGATGATAGTTGAAGTTACATTCTTGACAACGAGTCGCCACATTCTATGCCTTCCGTGAAGGACCTAGGTGTACTTTGGAGTTGTGATTTGAAGTCGGTGGACAACATGAACGGGCTATATCGTAATGGACTGCGTATGCCTTCGGAGCACAAAAGGAGCTTCTGTACTTCATCAGAAGAGGTTGCCATTCGCCTCCTACCCTCCATCATAAGATCAATACTACACCATTTGAAATTAACTTGAAGGTATCGGTGTGAATTTAAACTCAAATATTCACATTGTGCTGTAAGTCCGTATGGTCCCTAGATACCTAGACTGCTGGATGCTATGCTCATCACCCTAACAGACCGCAGGAATGCTGAGCGGATCAGAGATATGGTCATCATGTACCGAAAGCGCAATGAGACTGTCCGCGATGGAGAAGTGAAATATCGGTTTTGAGATCATATTTGGTAGAAGCAACGAAATAGAATTGCTGCGGTTCATTCTTGGATTTAGCAACAGGATTTGTGCATAGAAATGTACACGCGTGACGTCACTGCGTGGGTCAACGCGATGTTGCACCGCTTCTGAGCACATGGGACACAGGTAATTCGGGCAAAGCCAACCGTGAACACATACCCATTCGATGCTCGTATTGTTTGTTGGTAGTATGCGTTACAGTGGTGTCCGTCACCATCGATTACATACAACATACATGTTGAATGTTCGGTACTTTGTCTTCATACGTTCCTCAAAGATTTTATTCTACGTTAACAATGCTCAGACTTGGTGGGCGACCGAGTAAGGGATATAAATGATGCGGTGTGAAGTGCCTAATACTCGAAGGCAGAATCCTCATGTTACTGAAGCAATAAAGACAAACGGTCTTACAAAGTAGAGCATCATGGTAGGCAGTTACAACAAGGAAAAAACATGAGGTAGTTGCGTCCAATGCTGGATACCAAAGGTTTGATTTTCATCGACAGTTGCCCTCTCATCTGTTATAGCACCATGACACACGAACCTGGAACGCATACTCCAAGGAGGCCTACTGCGTCTAGCTGCTTATTCGCCGTGAGAGTATATAACGCTCATGCACTGCAGTTCACTGATTTGTAACTCACTTTATGTCACTAACATAATTGTGTATGGTTTGAACTGCTGTTGTCACATTTAGGCATCCGAAACCATAGTGCGGACATTCAAGGATAGACGAGGGTATCTAAGTACAAGTCGTGTCTTTGGGCGTCGTGCATTTTGCTCGGGTTTGGCAGTGCTGGATGACTATAGTGTACCCAGATAAATGGTAGCAATCAGCTTGGCAATGACAGTGTAGCGAATATTGACAGACCACATTGTCGAGTCTGACTGATTGATTGGTGAGGAACTGCACGTAACCGATGTTACAAATAAGACTACCGTCTACAGAAAAAGTGAAGTCGTGTAGGTCAAGCTAACAATGGTGGTTAATTCGAAACTGCATAATCCCATAGATTAAACATCGGTTTGAAAAGTCGATTGCTGTGAGATAGGTAGAGCCTACCTCAGGCGTACACCAGGTAGCAACTTTGGAACGCGAAATACCTGTTCGCTGCATAGTATTAGGCACAGCAGAGCGCCGTGGAAACAACTGCACTCTTTGCAGCGAAGATGTTGCACCCATGTAGGCGAAGCACCCTGAGACGCCCACCAATTGCATGTGTGCTAGTGGCTCAGCGGTCACGAAAAACAAAAACCGTTCATACAACATAGGTAGATGTTACCGCAATCACCTACAGATTAACCTCGGGGAATTAACATATATCCCAGGTTTTATGGCGCTGGAACACATAATGTAAGGAGTAGACCCTAGGATTCACATAATTTCCGTAGTCCTCAAAAGCAATGTGCGTCCGTTGGCCAACATAAATAGGGTCACTACATGGACTGCTACTTTACGGTCTCAGTGCGCAGGCTTAGACGTAACCCGAGCGCATCGGGTGTCGCATCCGACTCGTTTTCAGTTCACAGGCGACTTCAGCTGCGTAGCCAAATTCTGAATGTGAAAATGATTTTTTTTTGAAAGATGAGCTTACAGCGCCTCTTTGATAATGCTGTTGTGGAGCACACGGTAAGACAGACAACTGAGTACGCCCGTTCAAAAAGTGACCACCCCTCAGTACAAAATGGCTGAAATGTGTGCTTTCCTCCCTATTCTGTTTATCTCTAGCTAAAATCCAGTGATACGAAGACACATGCATTGAGATCCTAAAAAGATGTCCACAACACAGATATCAGTCAAACAGTGAATCCAAACAGAGTTGAAACAATCAAGAAATAACTCCATCTTGCAAACTATAACAATCAGCTAGGAGATGGCAAATCTGCAAACGTTACACAAATTTACAACTTACACAGTCAAAGATTTGTGCAATTTTCCCCACAGAAGAAAATCTGGGCGTGGATTAAAGCGTAATACCCTAGTACTGAAGGCATGGGCCGTGATTTAGTGCAGAGCTCAACTGAGTGCAGGCGTAAGCTGGTGAGGACGCACCGTTTTGGTCATCGAACTAGATGAGACGAGACAGCCACAATGTGTTTCCGGCGATCGTTAGCTGTCAGCTAACTTCGCGCTGAGTGCTGAAAGTCATGACTAACCGTAGGCGTTGGAGCGATCGATGGTTATCTGTGTGTCTCGCTGGCTACGCAGCGAAGTCCGCGTAGGGAAGATAAAGCGCACAGCCAAAACTACGGCGTAAATGTGTGCCCGTGATGGCATCTCAGCGAACCGGGTGTTTTGGAGTAGCTGAGGACGAGGTTAGGCAATGCAAGTCGTGTCTATATCACTGAATCACTGCGACAGGTAATGGAGCACAAGCAGACAATGCGGTCGGGATCACGTAACGTGTCTGTTACTCAGCGCGCGCTGATTATTCGGCTGTACGGTGAATGCGGTTTAAACGCCACATCAACTTCACGAAGATACAATGCAATGAACGCAGGAATGTGTCCCGTCACCGCCCGGTACGTGCTTAAACTAGTGAAGACGTTCGAGCAAAGTGTGTGTGTGTGTGTGTGTGTGTGTGTGACACGAAGAGAACTGGACCGCCTCACTTCACCACGGACGACTGGTCACCTTGCGCTGTAAACAGTGAAGTGTCAAAAAGTCCCGATCTCAGGATTCGTCGGATCGCACGGCACTGTGATACGACCCAATATGCGGTACACCGGATATTACTGGAACGAACATTTCGGAGGTTTCGTGCACTTCAAGTGCAGGTTTTGAACCCATGCGATCCGGAGAAGCGACATGAATTTGGCCGCTGGTTTCTAGATCACAGCGATATTCGTTCTGTCATCTTTACAGATGAGGCATTGTTTCATCTGCATGGAACAATGAAACATTATTCTTGGGCTACCAGCAACCCACGAAAATATAGCGCATCACGTATGAACCATAGTGTGAAACTGGTTTGGATTGGATTAACAAACCAGAAAATCTTAAGTCCATATTTCTGTTCCGGGAATGTGACCGGTAGGTTGTTGTTTTGAAGTACTAAAGCCTTATCTTTTCCTAGCATCGTCGTATTTGGAAATGCTGCAGACATTTGTGCTTCCCCATTTGGAGGCTGAAGGGGCATGCAGTGACATTTGGTGGCAGCAGGATGGTGCACATGCACATTCTGCAAAAACAATGCGTGCTTACCGACAAATTTGGCCACCATCGGATCGGACGCGGTGGACCAATGGAGTGGCCTGCTTGCTCACCAGATTTGAATCCCATGGACTTTTTTCTATGGGACTATCTGAAGCGGCGAGTGTACAAAACAAGGCCGCGTACATTGGATCAATTGAAAGAAAATATTGTGAACGAATGTCGCGCGATCACGTGGGATACATTGGAGAAAGTGCTCGCCAATTGCATCAAGCCGTTTGTGCACTGTAAGCAGAATGCCGGCGGACATTTTGAACATATCCTTCACTGGCATAGATGATCGTTCCAAAACATTTCTGTTAGTATACTTATCCTCTTTCACAAATGTGTTAACGACTAAACTGGGCCGCTGGCAAGTAGTGCTAATGATGCGTCCGGTCGGATAGAATTCTTAACGTCCAGGCTGTCGTTGAGCACATAAACAGCGTAGGCACCGAAACGCTCAATGGCTACTTATGGTGGAATCACAGAGTCGCTATGTGCTTAGATTCATCCAGCCTTAATGCAAAGCCGACTGTGTTGTTGACTCAGTTTCAAGCTATTGCCTGTGAAGTTGGTGTTCGGGATGAGTTGCAGTAGGTGGCAAAATGTGTACGTGGGGTCGTTTCCTATATGGTAGACTAATATGTGGTCTCCACATAGCCGCCTGTATTGTCTACTGAACGCTCCGAGTGTATTTAGTCGCTGCTCGACCATGGTGAGTTTCAAGCGCCGCAAGGTCACGGTTTAGCCAAGCGTGCCAAGTCTGGATTACGTATTCGACGTGTTAACGCATGTAGGCATGGAGCATCATAGAGAAGATGAAGAAATCCAAGCTTTCGAATGCCATCCGCATGCTATCAACGTGCTAGATTCCAACTCTCTGGAATAACCGAATTCGTCCTGTACCAGCACACCGAGGTCAAGTTCCTGAGGGCTTGTCTGCAGGTCATTTGCCCCAATATTTTAGATCTGAAAATAAGCATATTAAGGGTCACGCAGACTTCAATTTAGAGAGGGAGATAGAAAAATAGTGCCCACGTTTGTGATCAGCGATTTAACTTTCAGCTAGCAAGCAAAACAATGTCTCAATTCCTTGCGAAAAGCGTCAAAGTTTAACATTAAAAATTGACCCCAAAATAGGTTGAAAATATATTAACTGGTTCTTCCACGCGTCTCTCCTCGGAAACAAAGGAGGATGGTCCCTATATGAACAAGCTCAGGCGACAAAAGGGGACCATAAGTTTAGAATCAGCAGTGAAATGGCTGAAGATCGGGCAACAAGAGGTTGGAGGAAGTGGTCCAAACACAAGTGTTAAATCAAACGACAACATTTGAACCACTCACCCCCAAAACTAACACGTCCGGACTCACCTGCATTACGTGTGAGCAGCGACTGATATATTTTCAGCTGTAGAGGAGTTAGGGAGTGATATATTAAAACATCCAAACGCGGCGGTAGGTCCAAAGCAACTTGGTGCTTGGTACGCCTAAGTATGAACGGTTGTATAACTTTGCTAAGTTCCCTGTCACGTTCTTCCCGGGCTGGAAAGATAGAAGAAATGAAGACCACCGTTTGGTAAACGCACGTGTTATTTGGGCATGTGTAAAGAGTTTCGTCGAGGAGGGAATATTTCCTAACTTAATTACAGAAACGAGTTTGAATGGAATACTGAAGATCGTAGCAATGATGTAATGAAGCGCTGATCCTCATGAACCCTCAAGGCACAATTCCTGGTTAAGTGTCTTTCGTACCTGATTGTCTGAAAACACCAACCCACCATATTTTACAAATAAAATGTATCGCATGATCCAATTCTTACTTAGCTATTCGAGACACTTAGCACTTAACTTAGGGGTCGCTAGAAGTTACTGTTTGATATTAACACCGTATGGTTGTGATCTTTCGCCTCCATGAAAATGATGGACGTTCTGACTAATCCATTATCCTTTGATAGTGTAAGGTTGAACGCGATAATTCCTGAATTCTGTGGTAGTAAACATGAAGCAAGTCAAGTTTCGAAAAAGCTACGACAACTGTAGTGAGAATCACAAATGTGCGCCGGTTTTATCGAAAGAATCGTGGAAACGATTTACGCACAGTTGGGTGGTTCCTGTATGCATGTATACAATGTACGTGGGTTGAAGGAAATGTTTTGAACTTGGCACAGAAGTCATATAGCCAGACAAACAAAATATTTTTTTATTATAATCTACCAGTTTTCCTTTTCATATTACACAAATGAATATTGTAACCGCTTTTGCTTTCATGTCAACAGATTTTTGAAGTGAACAGGGTCTGTAATTTGGTGAAAATGAGAGCATCGTGCAGTGAATAAATCTTTCTCAAAAAATGTCCCCATCTGAAATCCACCAAGATATATTCAATATATTGCATTACAATGCACTTTTATGTGCCAAAGTTAAACGTTGAGTGCAAGGGTTTAAGCACGGTAGGGAGAGTATTGAAGATGAGCCCAGGTCAAGGAGACAATCAACCGCCATCACCAAAGAAAACTTTGAGCTAGTAATGGATATGATCATGTAAGATCGCCGATTGACAACTCGTCAGGTAGTAGAGGTTTGGCATATCCTAGGAGCAGGCAGATAATATTCAGACGAAGGAGTTAGGCTAAAGAAAAGTTTGTGCTTGATGGGTGCCGCGCCTTCTGACTTCTGAGCAGAAGCGCATTCGACATGTGATGTCAAAGAACAATCTGGCACTGTTTATGGTAGATGCCGATGATTTCCCTGCATGATTCATTATTATGGATGAGTGCTGGGTTCATCACTTTCAACCAGAAATGTGCATTATCTTCTACGCCAAAGACGTCCAGGGTTACATCGTTAGCTGGCAAGGTGATGACATCCGTCTTTTGGGATTCCCGAGGTGTGGTGATGATTGATTGCCTTGGAAGAGGCCATACCATCGCCAAAAGTATTAAGTTGAGTAGGTGTCATCACCCGTATCCCTCAACGCTGGTGTAACACGTCATCTATAATTTGTACCTACTTAATAGTCACAATCAGCTGCCATTTGCTTGAATGTAAACCAACGTTTTTGAGTGGTTTCATATCTGTTATTAGTATGAATGTATGCATATCCCTTGACACACCAGCATCGGAGTTGAAAACTTGCAGAAGATCTATCCTCGGCGCTACTACCCCAAGTTGCCTGCTCAGTCTGTGTCATTACCGGGGACTTCCATAAAATTGATACCTCATGCATCCACAACCTTGATTGGACTAAAATAGTGGCCTTTCCGACTAGACTCGAAGCGCAACTAGATTTCATCTTCATAAATAATGCTTGGATGTTTTCCGCACAGAAAGGTGTCCCACTTAGGCATTCCAGTCATTGTATCATAACAGTGTGCTCCATCGTTTATGGTAAGACTGACTCCGGTACATTGGCTAGCAAGCCCTTCAAAACTGTGAGGCGACGAGATTACTCATCAACAAATATTGCGACACTCCAGGAAATGTTGATTTCTACGGATCTTAAAATTTTGAACAAGGAAGATCACTCTATTCAGCGTGATCATTTCAATGATTACCATAAGCTTTGCTGCGATTTCTGATGTACGGTCTAAAACATCTACTTACGGGTCAATAGCTTCTCCACACCATCACTAAGAGGATTTAGAAGGAAAAGAGAACGAACTCACACATGTAAAATGACTAACCGTGTCAAACAACACTCTAGCAATAAAAACGATTTTAGGACTAAATAATTTATACATCGAAGCCGTTTTGTGCAACCACAACTGCCGAGACCTATGGAGAGTTTTAGAGCAGCCATGCGGTAAACGCTCCAATAAGCAAATTGAATCTATGGATGTAGAGAAACTTAAGTTTGAGCTCTTCTTCTTCATAGGAAGCATCCATAACCTCTTCATTCTCTCTGCCTTTGTTCTATGGCTCTGGTACAAAAATTGCACTCGAACACGTTGAAGTGGACCGTGAACTCAGGAACCTGAACTCAAACATCAGTGGACTTGCTGCCCTCTCACCAGTGGTCTTGAGTGTGCTAATTTCCACACCATGCCCTTGACGGAACTTTTTGATCCGTTCCTAGACGGTGAAAGTACTCCCGATATTCGAAGGCCTGATAAGATGACATTCATGCCAAAAAAGGGAGTCACAAAATTCCGTTCGATCGCCAGTACATCCGTCATACTAAGTCTTCCAGTAGTAGTAGTAGTAGTCGCAGTAGTCGTAGTCGAGTAGTCGTCGTAGTAGTAGTAGTAGTCGTCGTCGTCGTCGTAGTAGTAGTAGTAGTAGTAGTAGTAGTAGTAGTAGTAGTAGTAGTAATAGTAGTAGTAGTTAGTAGCGGTAGTAGTAGTAGTAGGTAGTAGTAATCTCAGCAGTCCAGCAACTAGACATAGAACCAACATAAATCCATGGAGATCAGCGGATAAGGGATGGTCATCGCGTCATATTCATCGTGGCATAGTAGTTGAAGGTGAGCAACATACATCAGATCATATGCCGCAGGAAGAATGGAACCTTTTGATAAGAAGTAGAACAAAACATTTTTAGTTTGTTTTTACACGCCGATTTGGCTCTTTCTTTGTTGTTTTCAATGTTTGTACTATTAAATATGTAAATCAATGCAATACTGTACACAATTCTTCCACTGATTCCGGTTGTCGGCCATGTCTTCTAGAGTGCTACGCCATTGACACTCCTCATCTTTGGATCCCCATCCTGGAAGACGTACGGATCTAACAGCGGCTAGACACGACATCAGCGATTTCATGTGCTGTCGCAAAGTGGAAGGTTGACCACCACGCGGTCGCTTCCACCCAGGTCCTTGACGAGCGAATAGAGCGCCACACGGTAGACGCTCAGGTGCCATGCGTAAGACGTGACCGAGCCATCTTAACTGGCGCAACCAAACCAGTTTGTTGAAGGGAATACTCGTATTCCCCAAGATGCGACGTCGAACGTCATTACTATTAACTCGATGTTGCCACCAAACACGAGCGATCCTGCTTAAGCAACCGTTATCGAATGCAGAAAGACGACGCATGTCTTCCACGCGAATCGGCCAGGACTCGCACCCATGCAACAATACTGAGCGAACTGATGCGCTGTAAACGCGACTCTTTAGTGAGAATGAGACGTCACGACGACGCCACAAGTGCCTCAGAGTGACAAATGCTGATCGAGCTTTAGCGATACGAAGAGAAACTTCTTCGTTGATAGTGTAGTCAGCAGAAAAACAGCTCCCAAGGTAGACGGAACTATCTACCTGTTCAAGTTGTGCACCTTCGAGAGTGAGCACGGGAGCAGGTGAAAGCCAATCCTTGAGCAGTACTTTACACTTCGATGGGGCGAAGCTCATGCCATACTTAGATGCTTCAACCGCCAAACGATCCAGAATGAGTTGCATACCCTGAGGATCGTTACCATGTAAGGAGATATCATCAGCATAACCTAAGTCGGTCGCGTGTTCACTTGGTAGAAGCTCTAAGCCAAAATGTTGGAAACCTTCTAGAGCACTTGACAGAATATCTTCGATTGCGAAGTTGAAGAGGAATGGGGACATAGGGCAGCCCTGTCGCACACCACTACTGACAGTGAATGGCGAGGAAAGCTTGCCATAGACCCTCATTCTGCCGCATGTATGAAGGTAAAGTGCTCGTAAGATGGCGGTATATTTCTCTGGCACCCCGTTCTTTAGTAAGCAACGCCATAAAGCAGGTCGATCGACGGAGTCAAAAGCGGCACGTATGTCTAGAAATGGAATGATAGTGGGCCTGTGATAAATGTGACGATGTTCGAGGAGCTGGCGAAGCGTGAAGATTTGATCCACGCATCCGCGGCCAGGACGGAAACCAGCTTGTTCTTCACGGTAGTATGATTCACGTACTGGGGATAGCCTACGAAGCAGAATGGATGCCAATAGCTTAGAGGCAACCGAAATAAGACTAATCCCGCGATGATTTGCACATGAAGTGCGAGCGCCTTTCTTGAAAATTGGGACAATAATTGATTCGCCCCAAGAGGGAGGCACCTTCTCTTCATGCCAGATTTTTGCGAACAGTGAGGTCAGCTGGTTAATGATCGCCATACCGCCGTACTTGAATAGCTCCGGAAGAAGTCCGTCTAAGCAGGCAGCCTTGAAGCGCTTCAAGCGTCGAATCTCGAGGCAGACTTCCGCTTCGCTGGGTGGATTCAGTGGGGCGAGCTGGGGTGGACAACAAGGTGTACTGTATGCACTGATGGATGGTGGAGGCCAGTTGAACTGCGAGTGAAAGTGCTCGGCCCAGCAGTCCATACGCCTCTGCTGGTTGGTGATCGGAGACTCATCCACCTCACAAAGGACGTCACTGACACCAGGTTTGCTGAGGTCAGTGGACCGAATGAGTTGGAAAAGCCTGCGAGTGTTGCCAGAGAGGGCAGCGGTCTCCATCTCTAAAGCACGCACCTCGCGATCCTTGCGTACGCTTTGCTTGAGCAGTCGGTTGGCAGAACGGCGCCGCTCGTTGCAATTTGATTCCGCCGGAATATCTTTGCGGTGTTCGAACAGCTCCAGA